TTTTGTAGACCTGAAACTCCACAAAACCCCTCATTTTTATAAAGAGTTGTGTGTTCTTTGAAGGCTAAGTTCAAAGAGAAGAACATTAGTCTGTAAGGCTCAGATTCATAAATAACTTGCCTTGGAGGCTATGAACCTAAAATACTACAGGTTATATTTTTAAGCAGCCCTGGTAAAACTACTGAGCCCTTAAGGTAAAATTCAAGACACCCCCCTCCCCTTGGTATAGTTGTTTCCATGGTCCTTCCATTGCCTGGGCTTTTTTCAGTCCTGCGTTGGTGTAAAGGCTGTGCACCAGGCAGCTAATGCGTAGGCAATAGCTTCAGCGGCCCCTAGGCTTCATTCTGGATCAAAATGCAATTAGCTTGTCTGTATTAAATGCAGCAGTCTGACTCAGAGCTCCTGGTGTTCCCGAGTGCTTTGAATGGCCTATGTTCATGAGGTAGGTGAAAGGAAAGTATCTGACCATGTTCTTAAGTGTAATGGTAAGCTTCTGAAATCTTCTCTGCAAGAGCTAACCGAGTAAGAGGGACACTTGGTGTTGGCTGATGCTGCAGAGTGGTGCCCCTAGGCACCAGCTGTTTGGCCCTTGCCTTTTTAATGCTGGAGTCAGACATTCATGGCGAGTGCAGTATTTTCTACCCTGAGCTAGCCTGTTGGAAGTCTCTTTTGTCCAGTTTTTGCTGAACCTTTCTATTATAGATCCTTTTTACAAAGGCAGAAGTAGACTTGTAACTAAGGTAGTTATGGTGCCTTGAAAATAATCTTTGTGGATCCAAGGGGGTAGGAACCGTGCAGCTTAGCTCTTAAGAGGAGCTGGCCTGTAAGGAGGAGTGCTTAAGGCTGGGGCTTACTGAATTAATGGGCCTCAGGATATCTGCACACTAGATCACAGCTGATTAATAGGCTCATACAGGAGCACATGTTTTTCAGAGGGACTGTTAGGTTTGGTCTAAACTTGTTTGAAAACCTGTGCACCATAGTAAAAAAGCTGGGAGTAACCAGAACAGGGTCTGTTTTTCCCCCAACTCTGTCTCCCAGCTGTTGCTGGGTGTTCAGTTCAGCTGTTGCAGCTGATGCCTATCCACAAATGTGTGAACAGATACCAAGGTCTCAGCTGTTTAATCTCTGACACCTGTCCTCCTCCTCTTGCAGCTGACATCAGCCTTGCAGACTGGGGTCGCAAGGCCATTGAGATTGCAGAGAATGAGATGCCAGGGCTGATGAAGATGCGGGAGATGTATGCTGCATCAAAGCCGCTGAAAGGTGCACGTATCGCTGGTTGCCTTCATATGACCGTGCAGACGGCAGTTCTCATAGAGACCCTTTTAGAGCTGGGAGCTGAGGTAAAGTGTCTCTGAGTTTCTCCTTCAGTGTGCTCTTAGGTAATGCTCTGCCTGGGGCACTGCTTCTGCTTATATAACTACCTTAGGGGATCCTGGCAAATGTCTGTACTTTCTGGAAGAGACCTTGCTGCGATCTCCAGGTGGATGGATTATGTCTTCTCTCCTTAAGCAAAAAGCTTGTCATCTGTACTGTGTGCACCTCTGGGATGTGGTATGTGTCTTCCCTCTGGACAAGCTGCATCTTCATGAGTGCCTGTTTTGGGCTGGGTCGCTGGCTTCAGCAGCTCCGTCAGCTGTGTGTACAGCACCCTGAGCAGTGGTGCCGAAAGCTGCTCCCACGCAATTGTGTTGTGCTCGGGCATGCAGTGCTGTTGCTGGTAATGCTGAAGCTCTAGTGACCGCCTCCAGCACAGATTAGCCTGTATTAAGAAGCACACTGTGCCCTGGTAAAGTCAGCAAAAACTAATGAAGCTTTCTGAGAGTTCATGCTGGCCCTTGAGCTGTGCAGGAAAACAACAGGGAGGCAGTGTGGTTCAGTGATCGAGGGCTGGGGACTCCACTGACTTTGAATTTGTTGTGTGGCTGTGTATGAGTTACCCTGGTCCATGTTAAAGACTGAGATACCTATAAGCCATTTACTGCATTGTGTCTTCTGCCTGGCTTGCTGAACGAAGTCCAAACATCACGGTTGAGTGTTCACTGTACAGGCCATGAGGAGAGCCGGGCATCTGAGCAGAATCCACATAGCTTGCGTGCTGAGCAGGGAGCTGACTGGAACTTGATGATGGATTTTGTTAAGTATGTATGTGATCTGAAATTCCTTTTTCCTGAAGTTTAGCTGCTTGAACTTAGGCTGCCCAGAGGTGCTCTATATGGGATCCGTCCCGGGGAATGGTTAGAAGAGTTGAGCAGTGTCATGCTGATCAAAAGGCTCTGGGAGAAGGGGAAGCTCTCTCTGTAGCAGCTAAGGCATTTCCTCAAAAAGTGGAGGGGTTAGGTCTAGACAGCATGCTATGTTAACAAAGATAGAATAAATGCTCTGTGCCTCAGAGTATAAGTTCTAAAACTGTAATAAAAATGCATCCTCTTCATAACCAATGATGTAAGTATTAGGCTCTGAGCCCATCAGGTATGCCAGTTATTCTAGGGTCTATGTCATTATCGCAAACTGGTGTTACAGATCTGAGGATGCAGAGTTGAAGTGGCTTATGTCTTGTATCAAGTGCTTGAAGTGTAAAAAATATATAGGTATTCTGCATACTTTGAATTTCATGACATCATCTGATGTCATTTGTACTGATATGGAGGGAGCTTAGAAAAACCCTGGTGAGGAGGTGCAGTGCTTAAGGTCATGAATTCAGTTTTCCTGTGCTCCTTCCAGGTGTGTTTTCACTGACAAGTGGTGGTTGCGTAGGCTCCGATGAGGTGCTTCCTACTGCAAGCCTTACTTTGAAGTGTCAATTCTTGATAAAGTGGGATAAGTATCTGAAAGCAGGCTGAAGGATTATGCCTTATTACCCTCAAGGTCTGTTACAATTAAGCACACAAATACCTGCCAGTCAGCCCTGTAGGGAGCAGAGTGAGAACTCGTGTGTGGCTCTGGGATGCGGTGGTTTCTGTGCCCGCTGGGGAGCTGCAGTAGGTATGCAGATACTTTTCAATGCAACTCAGCAGCATGCTGTTGCTTTTCTAGGTGCCTGAGCCTAGTTATGAAATCTGTGGGGAAAATGCTTAGCTCAGCTGGAAAAGCTTCCATGACTGAAGCACAGAGTGGGAGTTGGGTGAGCATAATCTTGGAGAATGCCTGTTGATAGAGTGTAGAGTTTCAGCTGCATTTCTGACTCTTCTGAGTGCCAGCAGGTGTGTTACTGCATGTCCATATCCCTCAGTGGACACTTGCTATGTGGCTGTTCTGAAAATCTGAACTTTATTGACCAAAACTTTCTAAACCCACCCTACTGTGTACTTTCTGAAGATCTATAGCTGAATGTATGCTCTGGCTGTCTGGCAGAAGCTCTCGTGAGTAAGGAGATGGCTGAATATGTGGCACAGCTAAAGCTCCATTACATTCTCTCCCAAAGTGACATTATTTTTCCTGGCCTAGTCAGATATTTAGTTTTCACCTTAACTTTGCAGAGCTACTGAGAAAAGCAGGAATCTGCACTAATATGCCTTTCTGCTCTTGCTCCCTTTTTAACTCCTGTGTCTGGAAGAGGGTGCCTGATATCTCAGAACTTTGTTCAGCAAACAAAACTTGAGTTGTTTTCCAGGTACAATGGTCAAGCTGCAACATTTTCTCCACTCAGGACCACGCTGCAGCTGCTATTGCAAAAGCTGGTATTCCTGGTAAGTTTTCCATGTTCTAGTTTGGCTCTGAGTTGGGGTGTACTGCCTGTTCTAGCTAAATCAAACTGTGTACAAATCAAGCTCTTCTGAACAAGCTTCACGATAGAAATAGCCCATCAAAAGCAGTGGCTGTTACAAAACAGGACACTTGATTCAAGCTGCATTGCATCAGACTATGCATGGCGCTCCTGACAATGGCTGATGGTAGGCTATGAAAGAGCCTGGCTGTATGTTACCAGGTTTAAGCCTGGTCATTAAGATGATGGAGTGGGCTGGCTAATTAAACGGATTGGTGTGTAGGTGTGTGCACATGGAGGTGTGTGGTGCTTTCCAGCAAGCTTGGTGCTAAACGGGTCGGGGGAGGGATGTTAACTGCAGTGTGCCCTGTTACAGTGACAGGGTCAATACTCAAGATACTTTAAGGCTAGAGCTAGGCCGGCTGTGTTGCTGCCTAATATCCCTGAAGCGGTTTGTGAGGATGCTGCTATTTTGTTACTGTCACCTTCCAATAAAGAGTAATTCCTTGTGGATCAGTATGAATACATTAAGCTGTCTGCTGTGTTACTCAGCTTAGGGATGTGCAGTCCTCATGGCTCTGTGCTGGGAACTGCATGGCCTGAGGCCAGATGTTGGCAGAGGCTAACTCCTGTTTCTGGCAGCCTGGTTCTTTGCTTTGGGAGGTGTCCCTCATTTCTGTTATTATTGGCTATTGCCACAAGTCCTTCCCCAGCTGTGGTCCATTCTAAGGTAACAGAAGAAAGTGGTGCCTTCATTGGCTCCTTTAGCATTCCTAGCTGCAGGCATCACCTCCTCTGCCTCTCGCATATGATGTCAAAGGACCAGGCAGGACTCTCTAGATCTGATGTTAGGATATTGCCTTTCTCACTGCTCTCAACACCCAAAACTCAAGAGCAGTTTACAGGTGAAGTGTTTGTCTAAGTTTTTGACCTGTGCCCTTGGTGTCCTTGTTTTGTGGAACTTGCTCTTTTTGTTAATATTGCATTTCACGTACTGAATTTATGAGACCTTGGAGGAAAGCTGATCCTTTGGATACAGTATGAGATACTGATGAACACTTCAAAAGGGGCAATTACATGATTGGCTTTTCATGGCTCAAGAGTTAGTTTTCTGTGTAAACAGTGAAAACATGACAACATAGCCAAATGTTGGGGTATGTAAATCATGTGCCTAATATTCGTTTGAATGGCTGAGTACCACTGGGGCTCAAGTGTAGTGTGAAGCCAGTACAAATGCCTGGAAAGGCAAAAATACTGCTAGATACAACATGCTAGTGGTTGCAGCATATTGCTGGTGGTAGATGTACTGATAGAGAAATATGCCCTAATAAGAGCAGACAAGGCGTGGCAGCTTGGATTTTAGCACTGTGCTAGAAACTAGAATTTAAACTCAGAGTTGCTGAAGAGTTTGTAGTCTGGTGCTTAGCTCATGCTGAAGTCTAGTTCCTCTTTTGTGCTGTGCTAGAAAGTGCTGTAGTTTTGTTTCCATTTGTCTGTATCAATATATCCACTGGCTATTTCTAATTCCTGGTAACATAGGGTGTATTAGGGGAGCAAGTGGGGTAGGTCCGCTTTAGTTTGCTTTGCCTTCTCCCTCTTAACATGAAAGAAGAATAAGGAGAGCAGTGAAGTCTCAAAAATTTTGACCAAGTTCGTGGCCTGGAATAGAAGGCAAAGAGATTTCACTTCTGCTCATTCTGAGATCTTTTTTTTTAAGGCAAATGTCTTTTCTGGCCTGCAGGCACAGATAATCATCTGTCTGTTGACTCTGCTACTGAGAGCTGCTGATGAAATCTTCCTTTGGCTGCTTTACTACATGCTGAGTAAGAAACTGGCTAATTGTTTGTGTTTGTTCCCATGCAGTGTTTGCCTGGAAAGGGGAGACGGATGAGGAATATTTGTGGTGCATTGAGCAGACCCTGTACTTCAAGGATGGGCAGCCCCTCAACATGATTTTGGATGATGGTGGAGATCTTACCAACCTCGTTCATACCAAATACCCGCAGCTCTTGAAAGGTGACTTGTATTTTGTTTTGTCAGGCAGAGTTCTCCTTCGGAGGCTGTTTAGGCAGTCTGTTTCTGTGGGAATTCCCTGCTTGTGTAAAATGGGGTGGGGGAGGTGGGAAAGGCATGTGCAAACAGGCTATGAATGAGTCTATGAAAATTGCTTACAGTCCAAGACCAGAATTTCTTATCTGCAGGAGCTGTGTCCGTCTCTGCTCTGTAATATATAAGCTACAGTGACCTGTCCTGCCCATCCTTCACAGTGCCCATTACCTGAGAATGACCAGTGGTACTACTGACTTGCCAAAAGCTTCCTGGAAATGGGCTGTGTTTTAGAATTGCTTAATGTCTGCTTGCAATTAATATTTTCAACATTAATGCTTTTTCTTCCCCATCCTCTTAGTGCACCTCTGGATGAAGTCATGACAACCTGTAGCCTTTCTTGGAAAGGGAAGTTTTCTACCTTATATAAACTACAAGGCATTAACTCATCCAGTTTACATCAGCGAGGATGCTGATGGAATCAGGGTTGGGACTTGTGCTTTGGCTTACTACCTTCAGTGTAAGTTAGTAAAACTAAAAACAGATCAGTGTGCTGTTACTAGCACATGTTTATGTAAAAATATTTATCTGAATGGAATTTGGCATGACCTGCAGTAGTAGGCTGATCTGTGCCTGGCAAGTATGACAGATTGTCCTTAGCTCTGCCAGTGTCCATCTGTGCTGCTGCAAGCCACAGATGCCCAGCGTTGCTAAAGGGCGTGTTTCATCTGGGATGTGAAGAAAATTGGATGGTGATATGGGGTGGAAACTAAACTGATACAGTGAGATGTGCTGATGCTCATTCTTGGTCTGTAGAGGTGAGGCTGCTGTAGAAGCCTGCTGGATCAGCTCTCCTCTGACTCTTGCACTGCTTTAAGAGGAAGCTATGGGGAAAAAATCTGGAGGCAGCAGGACATGGATAGGGCTGTGTGAGGGGAGGAGTCTGGGGCTGCTTCCCATCCGTGTGCTCATGCGGGTAGGGGCACAAGGAAGAGGAAACTTCTGTGTGACAGGCCTCACTTTATCCTTCATCCTCAACCTGATGTCATTAGTAATCCAACAGTCAACATCTTTGTGTTATTTAAACTGTAATGAGAGGTTTTCATTGGTGTCTGCTCAGCTGTGCTGGGATTCCCTCTCTTCTGTCAAAGGTCTCTTGCTTCCTAGATTGCCTCTGTGTGATGTTCATGATCTCTTGCTTTCCTGCCACTTGATGCCAAGGAATACCACAATTCTTCATGCATCCCCGGCATTGTCAGAGGCCAAAAAATGTATTTTCCATGTTCGTACTCTGTTTTGCAGGGTTGTTTCCTTGCCATGAACATGCAACACCTCAGTTGGTGTCCTGGTTCCTGGGGGTCCTTGTGCTGAGCTCCTTTCACTCTTCCAGCTCTCCTGCTGTCTGCTTCTTTCTCCCCTCTAGCCCTTTGCTCCCTCTTACTTGTCTTGTGTTCCTGGTGTGGAAGGGACCAGTATAGTACAGTGCAGTAGGGCAGTTGCTGTTGAAATGTCTCCTGTCTTGGTGTCCATCTCTAGTCTGCCATTGATAAAAAACATCCCTACTGCCTGGGGTTGCTTCCTAAATTCGTAGGAATGGCTCTTCCACTGGGTTTTTAAAGAATCTAGGCAGGGTGCCATACCTGTCAGCATTTCCCTTGCCAAAATATGTGCGCTGTCTGCACTGACGATAGTTCAGAAGACTGATCTCTGTGGAGTGTGACAGAACTTAATCTGTTTTACCTTCTAGTCCATTGCTCCTTGGAAACAGCAAAACTTCCAGAATGGGACCCACTGAGTAGAGTCTTGATCTCATTTAACTGAGCTCTGTGCTTAGCCCTTTGTTGCAAAGACTGCTTAAATGAAGCTGTGTAGCATCCATTTCTTTGTAACTTGAAGATAATAGAGGCTAATATATCCTAAGGGCTTGTGGTGATATTTGACCTCTTTGGGGAAGAGGTAGGACAAGAGTAACATTAGCAGAGCATGCACAGTGTGTGGAAAGACTGGATTGTTAGCACAGGAGATGTTTCGGCATGCAGCGTCTGAAAGTGCCATTTGCCATTTAAAGGCTGGACAAGTTTTCTGGGCTAATTTCAGAGGAAACTGTCTATATTCCATGCTTGAGCTGCTTCTAATTTAAACAAGTTAGTTCAGTCCTGGTGTGCAACTAACAGTTGAAAGTAGGGCTCATTCAAGTCTACTTCAACTAGGAGATGTGTTAAATAGCTGTGTGGAAATGCTCAGCAAGCTTTCCTTCTCCCTAATTGTGACTGCTGTTAGAGGGCAGAATGGCCTTTGTGCTACTGGCTTATTCCACTAAACTAAATGCCCTTAAAACCAAGATAAATGAAGGTAGGAGGGGGAAAACTAGAACTGAACAAAGGGGAAAGTCGTGTGAACTCATGCAAGGGTTGTCTCTGGCATCTGTGCAGAAGACTACTGTTGAAAAAGGATGGAGAAGATTGGATCATTGTGATCCATTGATGCAGAGCTGCTCATTGATCAGGTAAGAAATACAGGGGAGCAAAGCAGGTCTGAGTGTTTAGCAAGGCTTTTTCAATTTAATTCAACCTTTTTCTTGCTGTAGGCCCTTTGCTGTTCTCCTGTCACTTAAGTCACTGAGGCATTGAAATTGAGTGGTGTAGGCAGCACTTCTTTCAGCAGAGTTGCAAAGTAGTTTAGACCAGCTACAGGTGTCACCTGGGGGCAGCAGGCAGGTGGCCTTCAGGGAAGGGAAGCTGCTGGTGTGTGTGATGTGAGGTTCGCTGAGTGCAATTTTAAAGACAATCTGCTAAGCTTAGAAATGTCAGCCTGGAGAGCTTTTGAAGGGTGACGAGTGTGTCTCCTATTTGCCAGATAGACCAGAAAAGAGAGGACAGGTTTGAACTGGAGGTTTCTGCCATGACCTCCCACAGATCCCCTTCACAAGGGGATGATTGTACTTATCTAGGCAGTTGCACTGGAAAATAGATACTTTTGAGGGGCTTACTACAGATGCTGTATTTCACTGTGCATCAGGCAATGTTCTTTAAACTGTGCTGTCCCCTCCAAGCAAGCCCTAAACATGCTAAAGCATGAACTTGTTCTCTCTGCAGGTAACCATGTGGGGAGTCTAGTTACCAAAGGCTCTGTGTGAGGTCTGTGATGAGACAGACCTCAGTGGGGACAAATCAGCCTAATCAAGCTTTATTTCCTTCTAGCGTGGTTGGTCTCACTTCCTTTGTGTGAGACAGAGTGCTGGAGCTTCTACCTGGTAGTCTGGGAAGTGAAAGGGAGGTCTAATGGCTCTGTCTGTCTTAGACTCCATTGAGACATCTGTACAAATTCTGGTTTGAAAACCACTTTGAATCACACTTGGAGATTTAAACTGAAGTTGTCTGTGTTCTTGGCTTGTGTAGCTCATCTAGGCTTAGATCAGTTTGCAGCTTTTTTTTTTAAGCAGCAGGGATGGGTTTGAACCAGAATCGGCATCTGCATGCTGCTAACCTGACTAGAGGAGTTTGGATGAGGGGGTTGTAGTAGCATCTCCATGCATGGAGTGTGACTGTGGGGGTCCCCCCACAGGGGGTGCGTTAGGGGGTTGGGGGGGGCCAGAGTTGGGGGGCTGCCACGGGTCCCTCCAGTTTGGAAGTGGGAAGAGCTCGGACCGGGGGCATGTGTCTCCCAGATGCAGGCTGGGGAAAATGCAGTAAGCTGCGCTTCCTGAGGGCTTAAGTTGTGAACTTTGAAGATTACTTTAACAAGCTTTATTCTTTCTCGCTTAATTGAGCTCTGGTACAAATTTGGGATTCCTCTTTCCTCCCTTTCCCCCCCTTGCAGGGGGGCTGACCTTAGCCCCTGGGTTCCTGGCGGCTGTTGACGTGGCTCTTGTTCCAGCCAGGCAGGTAAAACACCGAGGGTCGGGGCAAAGCACCTGCCTGCCTTCTCCCAGGAACCATGCTCCTGTAGCCTGCTAGGGAGCCGTGCTGGGGAGGCACAGCACCCCTGGGTGCCTGGAGGGTGCAGGTACCTGCTCGGGAGCCGTGCTGGGGAGGCACAGCACCCCTGGGTGCCCGGAGGGTGCAGGTACCTGCTCTGGAGCCGTGCCGGGGAGGCACAGCACCCCTGGGGGCCCGGAGGGT